CAGGGACGGTGACTTACTTGCGGAGTAGTTTTCAGCGATAGTAGACTTGCATTGCATCTGCCGCACTTCCTCGCCCGCCTGTGTCAAACAAGACTCAAGAAGTCCCGAGACGGCATTGGGCGGTCAAGCCCGCCAAGCTTGGCTCAGATCATACGGAGCGGGAGTGTCATAAAAGCCACACAGATGGCTAGTGCCCTAGTCCACACCTATGTGTGCCACCATCCCTCCCCCCACGTTCAGTGTCTATCATGGGGCACAACACGAATAACGCTTGCCATTCCCCGATGCGGCCCCCGTGCTGGTCCAGCGGCCCATTTAGGAGGCCGCTTGGGGAACGAAATGCCTGCATGATAGAAAGGAGACATAAATAAATCAGGCATGATTTCTCCAACACATAGGCTGCCGTAAATTAGGCTAAACATGCGCACTTGAAGCATGCGCTCCTAATCTGAGCTCGGGGGTTGGAGTGTGCTCCGTTATCCCGCATTACTTATAGACAACGACTTCTATCTGCTCGAAAGTACTTGCGTATTTACTCCAACTCTTAATTTTTATAAAAATTCGTCCTTGTTACCAGTGACTGAACGTAACCTATGTCCACTGTGGGTTTTGCAGGAAATGCAAAAGCACAAGCAGTAGGTGAAAGACGCTGTGATGAGGTATTAAACTTTCTGACTCATTCCAGTGTCTGCTTTAGAGGCAGTCAAATCCAACTAATGTATCTAAGACGTTTTGCTTTCTAATTAAATCTACAGTTTCGTAGATTATACATTTAATGAAACCATATAATAAACTTAACAGCCTAACTAATTGTCTTCTGTCTTTTATAAAGTAAACGTTTAGGAAAGGAGAAATATAACCGACGCAAGCGGGGGAGGTCAGAATGCGATTGGTTAGCATATTTGCCACCGGTGCCATTGAGTCACGCCCCAACCTCCGGCCTTGGTGCGGCCCCGGGCGAGTTGACTACCGACAATTAGCCAGAATCTCTGCCGGTTAACCAAAGAATGTCACTGTAACTATTTAGACACACAAGTATTTCCCGTGTCCAAATCCAAAAACTAAACCTAACGTTCACTCTAACCCAAGCATTAGTCCTAAACTTCACACCTATTTCGCTGTAAATTAGCATAGGGCCCAACGGATGGCCGGAGGTTCCTTGTTCCAGCATTGTCTGAGTGACTGCTGCTTTCTATGCGGCTGTCTGTGAGGTTCGTCCACTTGGAGCTCCGAGTTAACACGGAGTCGCCGCCCCCTGCTCACCGAAAAAGATAGCTCAGTGAAGGTTACTCCCATGACAGAGCTTAAACTTTACTTCGTTGAATCAACTCCGCCTTAGTTCCTCATGCTGCAGACCTTTTCTGAACGAGGGTTCGAACAATAAGATCTCATTTGCTATTACCAAGCTGTCCTAAACGTTGCTCATTAACAAGTCTTTTGTGCTCACGGTTACAAGTATGAATCTACAAGAAGACCAATTCTGTTCTCGAACCGGAGAAAATCGAGATGGTAGGACCTATGAGTGTAAAGCTGCTGCTGAAGATTACCACTAGGCTGCTGGTATAAGCACATTTATTCGGGGAACAAGACTAGAAGCATTAGCAGTGGTCGTTCAGCGACGAGTAACCCAATAATCGCGAATAAAAATCTGCAGGTATTTCCCACTTGGACTACGACTGTTCGATGATGGGAAAAAGAAAAAAATTGGTCATTTCAGTGTCTCTGATCCTTATCCATACTACTGATGAGAATTACTGCAAAACAACGCGGCATCAATCGGCACGTTCTCGTCTGATTTTCTCAACATTATTTTCCAGTTAGAATAAAATAGGAAAATTTAACTTTATGGTAAACTACACATCATGCGCGTGCATAAACGCACACATACACACAAGTGTCCTCAAATTCGCACATATACACTTTCAGTGGGTGGGTAAAAAAGTAGGGCATCAAACAGCTAATGTCGCCGCCTCTTAGACGGAATGAAGTTTATTCACATATATAAATTGCGGAGGCGGGCGGCGGAGATGTAGTAGTATAAAACTGGGAGTGCAAATGTTTTGTTCTGCAAGGGGGAATGCAATAGGGCCACGATAGGACTCCCGTCAGCGCGCCTTCCGCCTATGGAGAAGAAGAAGAAAAGCAGAGTAAACTTGCGAAGGAAGCAGTGAGCGTGGTCGACTTTGCAGTAGGTAGAGTCGAAAACTGTCAGGTGAATGCTTGCACATAGGGCACAGGGGCAACATGTTCACATTGGGTTGCAATGGAAAGGATAGGTACAATTGTCGTCGTTTTTTGCAAGGTCAGACAGCTAGTCAGGCACAGTGAGGACTACA